CACACTCATCCCCTTGCCTTTTCACATTCAGCCTGGCTTTCTTCAACCAGTAATGTATCACTTGCTCTGAAATGGTTCATGCTTATTCCCGAATGTGTTTGACTTACTTCAGCCTTGGAAGCTTTATGTATGCTGCTTCTTTCTGCCAAAGTATATAAATCCCCCTCCCTTTGGAACCCTACCCCAAATCCCCTTCTTCTATAAAACCTTCCCAGCCAAACTTGGCTCTGATCCCAACTGCATATGTGCCATGATATACAGTCATAGACACATAACCATGTTTATATATCAGATAGAATATGCCTATATGCGTATAGAGAGAAAGCTGACAGAGAATCACGTGCACAGCTCCAGGCATCTGGTAGGCAAATGAACATTGAACACAAAGGATGTGCCGGTGCCGGTGACCACATTCTGTATCACAGAAGAAGTCATGGGTCTAGGAAATAATAGTCTTAGCTGACAAGCATTCAGTTAATGAGTCAAGAATCTAGATCTATTAACGCCCACCTACGTCTTCACACTTTCAGTTCCTTTCTAACATTCAATTTAAGTTCCAGAAAGTTTTTTGATCAGGAAAATTCTAGATAAACTTCAATAAATATTATACGTAAACTTGAAAAAATTGTATAAGTGCTCTCTTTATTTCAATCCTCAAAAACTTTCCAAATTTGCCTTAACAAAATTAAGTACACTTGTAGAAGCATTCAATATGGCTGAAAACAAGCCTAAGGTGTATTTTAAAAGTACAAGAAGGGCTTATATATAGGATAAAATTGCTTATTGGCTGTTAGAGGAAATCGTAGCAGGGATCTTCTGACAAACATCTACACAATGGGAGAACAGAAATAAACATCCTTGAGTTTGCAGGCCATCACATGGCGTTACTGCCACTACCAGACCACTGGCAACCGGAGATGCCTTAGAGTTAATAAACTTGTGGAAATTATAAAAAAAGAAGAAACTTTAAGTGAAAAAGCTATCCAATCTTTTCAGAGCCCCATCTCTGAAACATCTCAAGTCTTCATTTGTCTACAAATGAAACTGTCTACATGCAAATTATAGATGCCATTTTTTCCACCCACAATAGTCAAACCTCCCTCAGCTTAACACCAGTTCTCCACACCCAGAGTCACAGCAAAAGAAAAGCCATGATTTGTTGAACACAACCACTTTAAAGCTGCCACCAAAAGTCATTCCCTTGTAGGCAACACCAGGTTACTTAGTCATCTGAACTCTCCACCAGGTTCCGTCACGCACATTAAACCCAAGTTAGTGTGAGGGCAGTTTTAACTCACCTAGTCTCAGCATTTTCTCCCTGTCAATCAGGACAGCCTCACAGAGCCTTGGCAGAGTCACACCAACCGGAGGAACGCACACAGCCACCCTGTTGTATTCTATGGCATCTGTCTCAACCTCAGGAAGAGTCCGTCCTTCCCGAGAGTAATTCAGAAAAATCTATACCGTCCTTTAGAAAAATCCACCGTGAGCTTACCGCGCAAATGCACAGAAGACACTGGTCAACAACAGTCACTTTAAAAGTTGTCCTGCTTGTTATTCTGGGAGCTGGGTTTCGTCACCTGTAGTGGAATGCATTCGGTAGCCTTTAATTGTGACTCCAGATAGATCTCCACATCCCAGTGAGGAGGGACTGGTTGCTGCCTGCACTTGCTACCTGTAAACCACGGCTACACAAGAACACAGAGATTACCTGTGATAGGCGAGCAGGAGGTATTTTCAAAATCAAGCAGAAACAGGAAGTCTAATGTTTCAACATACTTTTAAAAAAAGGGAGTAGCCCCAATCATAGATGCCTGGACAAAAGAAAATCAAAAAACACCTCATTCCTACCTGGCCAGTATAAACATGAATGTCTATTAATAGGAAGTACTGCTCGGAGGTATTCTTGTTCTCAGAACTAGAGAACAGAGTTTGGGCAATGCTTCTACTCAAAATCTTTGGTCTTTCATTTTTGAAGAGAATATAAGGTTTTTATTTTTTAAAAGCCCAGCTGGTGTGGCTCAGTGGTGAAGCGCCAACCTATGAACCAGGAGGTCATGGTTCGATTCCTGATCAGGGCACATGCCCAGGCTGTGGGCTTGATCCCCAGTGTTGGGTGTACAGGAGGCAGCCGATCAGTGATTCTCCCTAATCACTGATGTTTCTCTCTCTTTCTCCCTCTCCCTTCCTCTCTAAAATCAATACAAATGTATTTACAAAAATAAGATAAAATGTACATGACTGTACCTAGACACACACAATATATACACACATAATCTAAAATCAATACAAATATATTTACAAAAATAAAATAAAATGTACATATGACTGTACCTAGACACACACAATATATACACACATACACACAGATATATGCACAGGCACTATTGAATAGAACTTTAGAAGCTTATGTACTTACCGGTGCTCTGACAGTCATCACCACCCACAAATCCTTCCCTTTCCCATTCCCACCACGTAAGATCCTGCCTGATGTGCTTCAAGTGCACCACCTCCCTGAAGCCTTTTTCTGAGTATCCCCTCCACCTATGTAGGATTTCAGTGTCCTCCTTCAACCCCATGGCAGCTCCCTGGAGCATTCTGATAACACTTTCTGGGTACCTACTCACGTTGTCCTTATATTACTACAGTGACTTATCTATCTTACCTCTACTACCTGTCAGTTTCTTGATTTTATTTTTATCCACTGAAGCAATAACACTTTGCCTTGAGCCTACCAGGGACTCAGCAGAAAAGATACCTAGTGAAAGGCAATAGTCAAGTGCGCTGGATCTAGTGGGCTCGGTTCATTGATGCCCACTACTAATTTGGAGAGAAGGCTGAAAAAGATATCAAATCAACATCAACTTACAAACATACTATACATTTCTTATTTTCTTTAGCCTACAGTATCATGTGACTAACTCATAATGGTTTGAATTTTACACCCTAGAAACCAACCTTTTATGTGTCTTTGTGTTATCATCCCAAATTCTGATGGGCTCCTTAATGCTAGGAATTCATCAGGGACTAAGGGTCAAAGAAGATGCCAAGAGAATACTCCCCCTGGAAGTGCAAGTTTCCAAAGCACAAAGACTTCCCAAACCCTGATTCAGTTGCAAGTCCAAGGGTAAGTTACAATGTGCAAAGAGCAGAAATAACCAGGTGGACGGGCCTCTCACATTTCCTTAAAATGTGTCCCCAGAGGTAGCTGCATGGCTAGGTGGCTACCAGGAACCACTCGGTCCACTACCAATGGGAGAGGAAGGAGCAGCAAAGTACAGCTGTGGGAGGGGCTGCTGGAGGAAGAGTGGTACAGCGTCCCATAAAAACAACTACACATCAGCACATCTGGATGGGCTATAAATCGGGCAGGGGATCATTTCCTTAAGACATCCCTCCCTCTTCTTGTCCTTGAGACCAGAATGCTTGGGTCTTACATGCTCAGATCTATTCAAAGTCTGCTGTTTTAAGCTGCCCCGGCAGTTGTAATTATATATTCTGGTCATCCTACTTTATGTGGGAAGAAAGAAGAATCATAGACCGGGGCTAAAGATCAGGGAGATCTGTGAAACAGTCACAATTCACAGATTAGCCTTATGTGGAAAGTACCTAACTCTCTTCGGCTGCCTTTGTGGATATGAATACAGCTCTTCCATGCTTCCCTAGGACTTGCAAATTGGAACAGTCTCAGTAGATTCAAGGATCAACCGTTCTGGTGGCCAATGCAGAGGCATCACCGCACCCGAGGCCGGGAGGGCAGAGGAGGCAGCAGGGACTGCCAGCCCTAGAATCCCTGCCTGGTGGCCCAGTGAGCAGAAATCTGCCGGGATCCAGCTCTGTTGGGGGAACTTATGCTCAGGAATACCAGGTACCCGTGGCTCTCCATCCTTTTCTGAGGAGCACAGCTCTGCAGCTGAAGCAGGGAGCCCCCAGACCGCACCCCTGGGAGTACCACTGGCATTGCCCATGACAGAGGCACCCAGAGCTTCACGGTGATACTGTATGGGCCTTCATTAGGGAAGTCTGGGTCCACTTTATCTGCTATCTTTTCCACCTATCTGCAACCACGGGACTGACGGCGGCTATGAGAAAACCAGATCCTCCTCTTCCGTGGGCATTCGTTATCAGCACATCATCTAGGCTTCTCCTCCGAGCAGGGCACTATTGCTTGAATCATTTTGCTGTCCTCACACCCAATGAAAGTTGGTGGCAATCCCAATTTCCAGAGATGAGCAGAGAGAGAGGGAGAGGGCTCAAACAGCATATTCCACAGGGCTCTGCAGGATGAGGCAGTGCTGGGAAGAGAAGCCGTGAGAGCTAGGCCCTCCCTTCCCAGAGCAACCTCCACAGCACACTCTCTCTCTCTGGCCCAGTTTCATGGACGGCTTATTACAAACCTCAAGAAAAATACTTCCTTTATAGCCACCTACATCCTTATCGGCCACACAGTCAGCAAAATCACCACAAGAATAATGAAATGTGCCTGCATGAGAAAGATATCTTAGTCTGTTTATTTCATCGGACTCTATAGCCTCAGAGACAGAACTGGAAACGTCTATGAAACACCTTGACCTTCCTGCTTTGGCATTCCCAAGGCGTTCCCTAGTCCCTGGTGCAAGATACGATAAGGGGCTGCCAAGAGTAGTGGTGTTTTCTTTATGTTTGAGCTGCAACCCCTCCCCCATTCCCCATCATTCTCTCTGTACCCTCCTCTTCTGCAGTCTCGGTCACCTTCACTCTTTTATGGGCCTCCCTGGAACTGTGGCCCCACCAGAGTCTCCTAGAGTCAATTTCTCTTTGTCCCTCTCCTCTTCTTCAAGGAACAAGCCGTCATCGGTGAATCAGGAAAGAAGGCAGGACCGCCTGAGAGTGGCAAGGTGCTCCAGAGCGTTTTACAGATATTCTCACAGAGATGGCAGAGCCAGACCTTCCCTCTCTCACCCAAGGAGGCCTCGCACGGGCAGAAAAGTGCAGGGCTCATGCCTCCACCAGGGTGGGAAGTCCCACTGGCTGAGCACCTGCTGGGTGCTGGGCAGCGTGCATGACGCTCTCCCTGGGGTCACTCAGTCCTCGTCAGAACCCTGGGAGGTGGGCTCCATCACCCTCTGGTCACAGGTGAGGAAACTCAGCGCCATAAATTTAATATTCCTCCTCAGCCCAATGCCAGGCGTGTCTTACTCCAAACCTGTTGGCTTTTTTCTCTTCATATCATATCATATCATATCATATCATGAACGTGTCCTTGGTTTAACCAGACAGAAAGCACAAATATGGAACTGCCTGGAAAATGAAAAGGACACCTGGCAACCCACCTTTCGGAGCCAGGCAGCGAATTAAACTGTGAACAGGGCTGCAGGGGGCCAGCGCTGGCAGCAAAGGCAGGGCTGGGGTGAGACTTCTCAAGCCTGTCATCGTTTCAGCTGTCATCCACGGCCTCCCCCAATGGGCTGCACGGGAAACACGTGTGGGACGGCAGGCCTTGCTACCACACGGAATGTGTTTCTGTGTTTCAAGTATACATTTTATGCAATGTTACTCAGAAACAAACACAAAGGTACTGTCCTTCTCTTTTCTCTCTTAGGATCACCTAACTGCAGTATTGGCCAGACTTCTGATATCCAATCTCATTTCACAAGCGAGAGAATGAGGCCGCCCAGGGAGGCCCACGGCGGGCGCAGGAACCACACCACTGGCTGCGTGGCTGTGCAGCTGCGGGGGGAGCCGGTGTCAGGACTCCAGAATGAGCACTCACATCTGTCTCCTGTGATGCAGGCTCACGTCTCTCTTCACACTTACCCCACCATCAGCATACGGAGCAGAGAATCACGGGGCCTCTGCTGCAATAACTATGCTGGCGCTGGACTGGGGTTTATTTTCTCCTGACCTGAGTAAAAACAGCGTCTTGACATTTACAGCATTCTTCCACTGCAAACCTTCGTGTGAAATTGAACATGATCCCCAGTAATAAAATATTCAATTAATTAAACCCTCAATTTGCCAAGAAAAACTCTCCGATTCAGAGTAAAGGTCTCTATAAATTTCTAGAATTTCTAGTTAATACGCAGCATTTGATATTTCCCAGGCCGAATTCCTCTCCCGCCCTGCATCGCCAAACCTGCTCCTTCTTCTCTGTGTTGACCTCTCTGGATCCCATCCCCACCTGTCATCCTGTCATCACGAATCCTCCTCTTGGTCTGGATGGCACTCATTCCCCAAGCTCTGCTGTCTTCTTATCTGTGCGTCTCCTGTTCTCATGTCCATTGGATTCTGTCTCGCCCTCGCTTTGCAGGTAGCAGAAGGTGGTTTTGTGAAAGACGACTCTCCAGAGAACGCCCACAAAGCAGGTCTGAGCTCCGTCCCCTCTGCAGAGGGCAGAGAGCTTTGCCATTGTGTCGTTTGACCCACAAGGTCATTTCCAAACTTGAATTTTAGAAACTTCCAGAAACTTTTAAATTTCAAGAGCGATAAAAAAATGACACCTTGTCTTGAGATAAGTTTCTCTTTGCCCCCCGCCCCCCAGCCCCCAGGAAAAGCACACAGCAGTTCTGACCATTTGCAGAAGAAGGACAATGTGCCACCCATCTGTGTCTTATTCCCTTTGTACCCAGAGCCCCCTCGCTCCTGCACCTAACAATCAGCACCGGTCCTCCACTCCACCCTCCTCCGCCTGACAACAGAACAAATTCACCCCAAGACAAGCTGACATCGAACAAACTCCTTCCACATATGACAGGGAGCAGGCGCTGCCAGCGAACAGCCTCTCGCCTCTGGTGCCCTGGAGAGGCGTCCAGGGCCCGCTATTCTCTCCCACTAAGCAGTCTTGCTTCTACAGAGGAGGGGCCAACGGAGCCCAGAGTCTCCTGTCTTGGGGTGTGTTTCTGTCTCCCTCTATCTACTCGTCACCCAAGGCCTTCAGGACAAAGGAGGGCAGGTGTGCTAGTTTAATCTAGAAAATGCTCACCAATGCAGCAAAGGGCAGGCTGAAACTAAATACATACCCTTCCTTACCCCCAAACAGCCCCTCTTCTGGGCTCCATATCTCACCTTCCGTCAGTCTCAGATCTGAACCTCAGTGTCATCATGAACCTCACTCTTTTCACTATCTCCCCCCACCCACCCCACCCCCAGCCACTGAGCTCTCATGTTTCCCCACCTTTCCATGCCCTGTCTGCCTTCCCCTTGTCCAGCCCCTCCCCTGGCCTGTCCTTCCTGCTCCTTCCACTTAGGTGCCCTCATGGCACATCTTCCCAAAGCACATCACCACCTGCGGCTAGAACTGAGTTTAACAAGTGTTTCCCGGCCCTCCCTCACCGTGCCACTCTGATGAGGAACGTGCAATGCTTCCCAACTACTCATGGTCAGAGTCTGCACTGCTGCTCAAGGTCAGAATCAACCTGCCCGCCCACCTCTGGGCCTCTGCTCACCCGCTTGCCTTGACCTCCTGGGTCCTTCCCACCACCATCAGCTACAAAACACCGCCAGTCTCCCACCCGAGGCCTTCCCTGACCCTGTGGCCAGACGCCAGTCTCACTCCATGGGCTCCCTCTGTCACTTGGAAGCCTTCTTACAGCATCTAGCATGTTTTGCTCCAGAGACAGAGATCACTATACACATCTCACGATCCCCATTATACTGCACAGTCGTAGGTGATAGGTGAGTTCTTCCCTTGCTTGACCAAACCAGCCTGCATTTACCCAGTACCCACTGCATGTGAGGCACTGACTCAGGACACGGTGGGAAATAAAACACCTGTCTCACAAAACTGACATTCGGGGAGAAAAAGATGGCAGATAAGCCAACACAAATAACTCCCAGACAGATTGAGAGCTGCCAGGAGGGGAAGGAACAGGGGGCTGTGACGGAGCGCACGGGGGCAGAGGTGCATGGAGGTGAGGGCCAGAGCCGGAGGTGTCCAGCCCCAGAAGCACACGCTTGACACACTCCGGGGAAAGGAGTGGAAGAAGGCCATGTGGTTGCAGGGTTGGAAGCACGGGGAAGAAGGGTGTGAGAAGGAGTTGGGAGTTAGGCAAAGACCAGAATAGGTAAGGGCCATCCAGGACATGGTCAGAACTTTATATGATATGGTGGGAATGTAACATAGGTAAAAGTGTCTGAAAGGCAAAGTGGCAATAAAGATCAAAACCTTCAAACGCCACATGCTCTTTGAACCATTTCCAGGAATACAGCCAATGAAACAGGCAAGTGTGGACGGCTCTAGTTCAAGGGAGCTGTGTGTTGTTATGCCAACGGTGGAAACAAGACAGCCCAACTATCCGAATGGGGGATTGGCTAAGTGAACTATGGTACATCTATCTAGTGGCACGTAAAACAGCCTTTTAAAATGATCTTGTGGAGTAATTAATAACATGAGAACGCTTCACAAAGGCCACAAAGCAATATATAAAAGCAAAGGAATTATACTAAGTAGTATATAATTTTTATAGAGGAAAAACTACAGGCATGCAGTTAAAAGCCTGCTGTGACATATTCACAATGTTTTTTTTTTCTGCATGGTGAAATTAAGGAATACCTCCCCCCCCCCTTATTTTTTTTTTTTTTTTTTTTTTTTTTTTTTTTGTCAAAGTGTAGTTCATAAATATACTATATATACTTCTGTAACAAGAAAAAAAGTTTAGAAACTCTGTGAGTCACAAGAATGTATGGCAGCATGTATATCCCATGAGGTCACAAAAATAAATCAAGGCTGCCAATCAGAAGATGGCAGGGCAATCTCCTGTCTTTTTAGGGGATGTTCAAAGCAAAACAGAAAAACAAGCCATAAAAACTCCCTGGAACTCGGGGCAGGAAGTGTGTCATTCCTTGCTTGCTTATCCTTCTGACTCAGCGCTGACTATTAAGCCCCTCTGATCCCTGTTATGAGGGAGTTAGAGATAGGAGCTCTGGGAGGAGGGAGACTGGGACACCTCACCCAGAATCTCCCAACCCAAAGGGAGTGGGGGGAGGATTGAAATTCTGACTCGGATCTTCTAGGGGAAAAAACCTTTCCCGATTCTTCTTTAGACTCTTTACAAGGGAGACCAACAGTCCCACTTCTATTAACTTACTTAAGTTCTTGTCTATTTCTTTTAAATGAGATTTGCTGCTCAAGACCCAAACACGCTTTTGTGTTCAAGCGTTCTTCCCAAACAGGTTTGAGACTTTCATAAACCGTTCAGACGAGTCACAGCAGGTCTCAGACATCTGGATCCCGGCTCACACATGCCCACGTTGAAAAGGCTCACCGCAGAGGCCCATTCAGCCGATTCGCCGCCCTGCTCCGCTGGGCCACCAAGGCGGTTTGGTTCCAAGTCCTGTTTGGCAGTCTCCTAAGCTCAGAACTCAAAGGCCCTTCAAAGAGCACAGATTGGAAGTGATTTGCTAGCAGAACCCCACACACTTCTTTTAGTTCTGTTTTTAACAATCCCCTGGAAACTACAGAGCTCAGAAAAACATACACACAGGACTACACAACAAAACAGAAATTTTTGACTGTGGAAGCCTTTACATTTTTAAGACAATTGAAGTCAGAATTTGAGGACACTGGCAATTACAATCCAGGGCCACTGCTTTCCCACACTCGTTCAACACATATCTACTGAGGCTTTACTATGCCCAACGGTAGCCCCTAGGACTTGTAAACCAGGGGGCGGGAGGAGATATGCGATGTATTAGGACAGCAGGGTTGGAGTATGAAAGGAGGGAGGCAGATAGTTCCAAGAAACTCCAACAAGTACAGTCAGTTTGAGAACAGGTTATTAAAAACATTATAAGCCCTGTTTAAACGTTCGACCTTATCAAAACTCCAACAAGGCATCTTAACCAAGGGATGACTATCAGGTAGATATAAAGACCAACAGCAGCACAGAGTCAGGCTGCTGTGGGGTGGGAATAGGGGGCATGTGGCAGGTGAACTGTCCGAGGAGTAATCTAGGTAAGAGATGACGGTGGTGTCCTGGTCTTAGTCGCTGGCAGTAAACTGTGACAAGCGGAACACAGGTTCTACAGCCATTTCCTGGGCAAACTGATAATATTGGCAATTGATAGGGCACAGGGGTGAGTAGAGGAAGAAGCCTCCCAGGTTTCATTTACTGAGGGGAAGACAGGAAGAGAAGGTGAGCTCAGCTTCCTGCATATTGAATTCGAGTTGCCTGTGAGATATCCAGGTACCGATGAACACTTTACAGCTGGACGTCCAGGGCTGGAACTTAGACACGAGGTCAGACTGGAAACGTACATTTGGAGCTCATAGCCATGTGACAATGTGAAACCCTAGGAATGGATAGGATCACCAAGGGAGAGAGAAGAGCGGAGAGCCCAGAGTCCTAAGAAATACCAACATTTAAGAGAGGGACAAAGAAGAGGAAAGTGATTGAGAAGGAACAGAGAGAAGAGGAAGAAGAAAATCAGGAGAGTGGACTATCAAGGAAGCATCTGTATATAGAAATAGGAGCAGTGTGGACTGGCACTGAGCAGGTCAGAGAGGACTGACAGGTGTCCACCCAGCAGTCACTAAAATGCTGGATGCTGCCCTACTTCTTCCCCATCCTCTATAGCAGGGGTCCTCAAACTATGGCCCGCGGGCCACATGCGGCCCGCCGAAAACATTTATTCGGCCCGCCGGGTGTTTTTGCCGCCGCTGCCTGTCCTGCTTAGCAGCCGACTCGTCCCAGGCCCACAGTGCGCATGTGTGGAATGTCTGAGGGACAGTGAACTGGCCCCCCGTTTAAAAAGTTTGAGGACCTCTGCTCTATACGGTCATCTGTGCACAGGCAGGGGCCAAGAGGGGGCGGCTGAGTAAGACTAGGTTCTGAGATCAGCTTAGCAGCAGATCTTGGCTATGGCAGCATGATCTGCTCAGGGGCTGAAAAAGGGACCAAGGGCCACAGAAGTGACACAAGGCAGGTTCTGGGATCAGGCCCTCTGTCACTCAGTCAAAAGTATTTATTGGTCATCTATGATGGATGGCTTGTTTACAGTGCAGGGGACAGAGCGG